CTGCTCTTCCTCCTTGCCTACAGCTAAAGAGCATGGTCTGAGCATCCTCCAGCAAAATGTCCTTCATTTGTCCTTGACACGCTGGAGGCATCGCTGACCTCCCTGTGCTCTCCCTCTGCCTTCCGGCCAATAACAGCATTGCATTCAACTTACAACCAATTCCACAGCAAACCCGTAATCTTTAACTCTGTTAAAATCATTCCCATTTGGCTGTGACAAAGCAGAGCCTGTAAATCATGATTAGTGAAAGCAAAGGGCCAGAGAAGAGATAATTAATTTCGCTTTGCTGTTCAAAGGCTGCACTGCCCTCGCTCAGTGGAGGATTTGTGCCCTTTAGACAAAAGGCTGACAAGTGTCACCTGTTAATCTTCTCTGTGTGCAGCTCTTTGCAGCGTGAGGAGGTCCTGTCACAGGGCCCTGCTGGCTCTGGCAGCTGCTATTTGCAAGTCAGCTGCAAAGCGCTCCCCCTTTATTCCTCTGGCTATTTTTAGCATTTCTCTTTAGATGCAATAAAAAAAGACATCTCGTATCGGTGATAACCAGGTTGTAGTGATTGTTCCCCGTAAGGGACAGACGTGTTGGGCAATGGGAGGGGAAGGGCTTTCCAGGATCGCTGCAGTGTGTGTGAAACATCTGCTGGCTGTCACCCAGGATGGAGACACCACTGTCACCTGCAGCAGATCCCTTCAGGAGCCTGTCTCCAGCACATCCAGTGCGTGGTGGTTCAGATGGAGAGCTGGTTTCTGGATCGAGGGCAGGTCAGAACAGCTTGATATATGCAAAGGGCAGGCAGAAAAAGTCTGCTGAGCCTGCAGCATGCTCCAGAGTGCAGGGAGGGGCTCTTGGGAGTATCAAGGCTGCATTTAAAGGGTTAAAAGAAGTCACAGTGCTCCCTGGAGCTCTTTGCCTTGCTCCTTTAACTGCAGGAAAAACAAGTGAATGGGGAGACCCTGTCCCAACAATCTCACCATACATGTCCCCCTGACCTCACCATCCCAGCTTCTCTCTGAGTGTTTGACAGACAGCCCACCAAGCTGAATTTGAGCTTCTGAAATTTAGTCTGTTCTGCTAAATGGTCCCTGCTGTTTTTAATCCACATTCATACTAAATTTCTGCTGTTTCATTTTCCCCTTCCCTCTTCCCTCAAGGGAGAAGCAGTAGCTTTCTTGGAGATAGCTTATGATTTTTCCAGACAGAAATTGTTTCCATTCCAGGGTTATTGGCAATACCCAAATGTATGTCCAGGAATTGGTCAAAGCCAAGATTTAGAGCTGCTGCTTCTAGTGTCTAATAAAGCAGGACTGCAAAAGGTCAGCCTCTGTGCAACGTAGCAGCCAGTTCTACCAGCTAATGGCACAATCTATTATAGAAGTAATTCCGATGTCTTCCTTTCCCAGTCAAATATAACAGTGGGGAACATTAACTGTCTAATTTAATACTGGGTTTCTTATAGTGCTAGTAAACCCATTAACTAGGGCTGTTATCCAGACTGATGGAGTCTTGACCTTGGCCTGTGTTTTTAAGCGAGCTTTGCCATTCCCCTTGGGATCAGTAGCTCCATTCAAGCAGCAGCTCCACTGCCCTCCTTGCAAGGTTCTGTGCTGGTGGCCCAGCCTGGGTGTCCCTGCAGCAGTGTCCTGCCCTCTTGCTGTAGTTTGCACTGCAGAGCATTCATCATTTCAAGGTCATCCAGAGCTCTCTGACTTCTGAATTTATGGAGGATAACAGCAAGCAGCCTTTGCTTTGCTATAAGCACTTCCACTTGCCATTGGTTCACCTTTACCCCAACAGTCCTTGTTCTTGTGCTTTTTAACACTGTCCTTCATACTCTCCTGCTTTTTTCCTCTATATCATCAATGCAGGCTGCAGCATCAGCTGCTCTGTTAGCAGGTGCTTTTGCTTTCTCCTGAGCTGCCCCAGCTGCTGGGCAGAGCCTTTGCTAGCAGCATTCACAGTTAGCATCACATAACAGCTTGGAAGGGACTTTAAATATCGTCTGGTTCCAGCCCTGCTGCCATGGACAGGAACACCTCCTGCTGGACCAGAGGAGGGGTGGGCTGGTGCGAGAGCACAGCTGCCTTCTCTCCACACAGGTGTAGTGCAGAGGAGTACTTGGCATCAGCCTTTGAGGTGATTCTCTCCCTGGCAGGTTAAAGAAGTGGTTTACTGAATTGTTTTGAGTATTCAGGGGCCAGAGGGGTTTCTCTCCTTTGCTGTCCTGCGGGGTTTCTGTGGGTGGTCTTCTCCCACCTTTGTGTGTCCTCTGCAGTAACACGGCTGGACTTCCCCCTAGAGAGAAACTGCTCCAAGACCTGGTTCTGGGTGTGCTGTGAACTCTCATAGCCCTCAGCTTCACTCAATCCTGGGCTTCCCCTCCTCTGTCCTGGTCCTCAGCATCTTGCTAATTAGCCCAAGCATCTGTTCCGAGCACAGCAGTGAACATTTCCCTGAACAGCTATGAGTTGTCTTGCCAGATTGTTATTTACGTGCTGGTTCAGGTCACACACTCCCCAGGGCAGGAGTGAGACCCGAGTTTGGCCCATTTGTCTTCCATGAGTTGAAGAGAATAAAGAAAACATTTACCTTCTGGCTGATGATCCATTCATCTCCTGCTGAATCTTACGTCTTTATCTGTCAGATCTCCTTTTTCCTGCACTATTTTGAGTTCTCTAGGCACTAGTTTTCATCCTTTTTTGACTCTCTGTGTGCAGCCCAAAATGCCTGAGCCAGCAGGGTCACGGAGTCTCTCTGGTCCTCATGTGCACCAGGACTCACTTCTTCCCTCCTTGTATGGGCAAATCACGAGCCTGATAAAGCCTGTCTGGCTCTGGGCTCCCTCTTCCTCTGCTTCCCCCATCCCATGTCCCTGCAGATTTTCCAGCCCTGTGGCTCTCTCTCTCTCTGCATGCACAGTTTATCCTGGGGAGCCAGGTCACAAATCCAGCAACTCTGCCCTGGTCCCAGGGACAGCTACCACGGTGGGGCTGACAGATGCCAGGTGGGTGGTGGGGCAGGAATTGTGTGCCCACGGGGAGCAGAGTGTGGCCCTGGACATTGGGGATGCACCTTGTGCTGGTAAGGAGTTGGTGACACAGGAAACTGAGAAAAATGTTAAGCCTTCTCTGCCATGAATGCCAAATAAATGCCGCTGTTTTTGTTGTATCTTAAAACATCACCTGGAGTGTTGGTGCAAACAGTGGATGCAGGGTGGAAAAACACTGAACTGAGGAAAATGCACCCAAACAGTGGCCCTCCCAAGCCTGTCACCCAGGATGCTGAGACTCCCTCATCCCTTTTCACAAAGGTGACATTCATAAAGAGCTCAAGGGCAGGTTTTTCCATGCTGATGGCTCAGCAGCTCTCCCTGTGTAGCAGCAATAACCAGGTTTCTCCAAGAGTCAGGTCAGTGTAGAGGGGAGGTGCAGTATTCTGTGGAAAAGTTGGGCCATTTAGTGCAGTGCCCCTGTCACAGGGAGCTAAGCCACCCCATGAACCCATGCTAGTGACATGTCCTCTTTAGTCCCCACGTGTGGTGAGCTGCTGAGGTGTGTGTGCTGGCATCCTCCTTCCCTGTCAGAAGAAATAAATATTCCCATGGGGCTGAGAGCAGGTCTGCAAATAGCTATTGAGAGCTGAAATCCCAACCTGAAATTAACACACTGCTGGTTGAATGGGGCTGGAAAAGAATTTCTTTTCTTTTTAATGTCTTTTAAATGTGACTGGCTAGCAGGGGGGCATCACGGGGTCTTTGTGGCTGACTCAGCTGTGTGAGAGCCTGCGGTCCCCAGCCCGCCCCGCGGACAGGGCTCCTCTCTGCCTCACTTGTACCCAACGTGCAGCCTCCTCACAGCGTCCTTTGTGAGAAAGGGGTTTGGGGAGCGGGGGCTGCATCATTCTGTGGGTAATTGCCCCCCTTGAAGGAAATTAGGAGAAGTGGAGGAGGTTTGTAATTGTGCCTGACTTTGGCACGCAGCAGGCAGAGAGCAGCACCCGGCACGGCAGCGTGGGTATCCCAGCACAGAGCTCCTGACGTGTCTCAGCAGCTGTGTCATGGCTTGGCAGATGCCTGTGGGACAAATGTAGGTGTCAAATGCTGGCCTCAAGCCTCCTCCTTACCATTTGCAGCAAGTTCTTCTACAACCTCCAAAACAGCTGCGTAAATCAGGGTACAACTGGGTAAATCTTCATTTGTATCAATGTACCACAGAGTTTGACTCTTGTGTTGCTACACGCATGTCCCAGTGCAGTGACCAGCACCTGTAGCTTGCCATGGGCCAGCCTCAGTGCCTGGTGATGAGATTTGGAGGCTCTGTCCTCCCAACAGCTTTTGTTTTGCTGTGGTGACTGTGGCAGAGATGCTGCTGGTGTTTGAGGATGTTGTCCTATTAGCCTTGCCACCCACATTCAGATCCTCTTTGAGGCTACAGTCATGGAAGCAGATATGAAAACCACAGAGTATGGGCAGGGTGGAGGCTTCTGGCGTTGAGCAGGAGGAAATGGAACCTCTAATCAAAAAGGAGATGTATTGCTCAGTGTGTGTGATAAATGGATAGGGAATTGAGTCCCAAGGGGATTGATGCCTGCCCTGCTCATCTCACTTTTAACTACTGCTCTAGATGGATTATTTCCTCTGCAGAAATGAGGATTGGGAAGGGATGGCTACCAAGAGACATCCTATAAGCTGTTCTAGGAATCTGTTACCTGAGGAGGTGTCAGCCACATATGAGCCTGAGGTAGCAGAGATTTTCCTTAGAGACAGTTATAGCTAAACAAATATTGACCAGCTGGTGACTGCAACCATTACTCGGGTTTTTTGGACGAGGAAAGATATTTTAAATGGATTCCACGTAACTAAACTGTGTAGAAACCATTGAGTTTTGCTCAAAAAAAGGCTTCTGTAGATGCCATTCATTTCAAAGATACATTATATCTGGTTCTTTAGTTACTGAGTTGCTTTAAAATGCAGATTAACCACTAGCCAAAATAATTTTCTTTTGCAGCTTGAATTTCAGTGGAGTCCATCTGGCATCTGCTGGGCAGTTTAGTGACTTCCTGGGGAGCATGGGCCCTGCACAGTTTGTTGGCCGTCAGACCTTGGCCACCACCTCGATGGGTAAGGAACACAAAGGAGTTGGGTGGCTTTAACTGAGTCTTGAGCAGACAGATCCTACAAGCCACCGAATAATGTGTCCAGCATCTGCTGATCTAACACTGTCCTGCTCCATTTCTCTGTTAAATCAAGTGAGCTTGGCTGAAAGGTTTTGCTGACTGCAGCAAATGTGGCATTAGGAGGAGAGCAGCAGCTTTATGCTTTTCTCTCTCAGCTCTGAAAGGCACAGACTAAGTAAAATGCAGCTAAAATCCTCAAAATGCATCTTGTGGGGTTTTTCTTTCTCTAAGGCCCATCAGGCTCTTCGTTATGATCCACCATAACTCCATTTTCCAGAGCAGCCTGCAGTCCTAGGTTCTTCTGTTTGGGAGAGGTGAGAAACTTGCTGCCACAAAGAGTAGGAGACTGAGCCACCAAAGCCATTTTAGAAGGCTCCCAGTCAAGTTTGCTTTTGAAAATGTGGCCTGGAATCACTGTGGAGCTGCTCCAGAGTAATACAGGAGGAAATCAGGCACATCCAGTTTGTTACAGCTTGTGCAGGAGGGACATGAAGATTGTTTCTTCAAGATTTTTTTAACCCAAGGATGTATTATTTTGAAAGTTTTCTATATATTTTGACATTTTGGTTTAGGGGACGTGGAAATTGGCTTGCAAGAGCGAAATGGGCAGCTTGAAGTGGATATCATTCAGGCTCGAGGACTGACACCAAAACCCGGCTCCAAAACACTGCCAGGTAGGATGCTTTCATCTCCTAAAGCACTTCCCTGATCCCTAGCCTCCCACAATGCTTGTGAACAGGGAAAATTTGAATTTTTTCCTAAAATTCAAATCAGCCTGTGCGTGGTAATGAAAACAAGGCTGCCTGGGCAAATCTTTTTCCTTCTGTAACTGCCTTCTTTAGAAACACCTGGGACATGGCACGCTGTCTTTTCTAAAGTGAGCATGAAGATTTTCTTCATATTTGACCATGTTCTTTGTTCCAGCTGCTTACATCAAAGCTTACCTGCTAGAGAATGGCGTGTGCATTGCGAAAAAGAAGACAAAAGTGGCTCGCAAGTCTTTAGACCCTTTGTACAATCAGGTGTTGCTGTTTGCTGAGAGTCCCCAGGGCAAAGTATTACAGGTAAGATGAGCAAGTCTCAGGTCTGGCCCTCTCTCTCTCTTCCACCTCTCATGGAAGATACTAAGTTCTGTCGTGCTGGTTAATTAACATAGACGAGAAAAAGCCAATGCACTCAATCTGGACTTAACAAAGGGAAAGGAATTCCTCTTTCTTCATACTCAAGCTGATGATTATTTGACACCCTGCTAGGTACCATGAGCGTCTACCAGGAGAGGATTGATTTTTACGTTTTTTTAATTCTTTACTTCCCACCCAGTTAGGAGATAGGTGGTACCTATAGGTGCTAAAATGATCTTGCAGCATGGGTTGCCTTCCATGGTTATACACATTCAGGGCACTCTGCTTTGCCATCACCCAATTACCTATCCTACCTTTTTCTACCTCTTTTCTGTTACTGCCATGTGTTTTCTGCCATACTCATATTTTCAACTCTGTACCTATGTTTCCAGAGCAAAGAGCGATTTGCATTGTTAAATCATGTAAAAATAATTTCCATCCAATAAAGCCTGGCTAAAATCTATTTGTAGTACTAATGTAATTAATCCATGAGTTTTTGCTCTTTACCTCCACTGGTGTCTAAATTGCCAGCTAACCTGCTGGACCCTTTTCTTCAGTGACTTCTACCTAATTTACCGTGATTAGCAGCATTTTCCCCTGATGCAACAAAACTGCACATTTATGACTGAAATGGAGCTGGGACCTGGCTTGGTCTGCTCTTGCCTTGCGTGGGTTTCCTTACCTGCTGCCTTGCTGCCAGGAAAGGCACTTATTCCAAGAATAAATTGAGGAGCTTGGCTTTTTTGCTAATGGACATGTCACCAAACCCACTTTGTGCAGTGGCTCGCTCCATCTCCTGCTGGCCCAGAGTGTGAATTTTTGGGTTTTGATTGACATTCATTGTCTCTCCTACCTCATTTTACAGAAGACTGTAGTGTTGTGGTTGTTAGGAGCCTAGGGAAAGAAGCTGTCAGGATTAGCCAGAGATCACTAATTGTCATCATAACCCATCCTACTGATCCTCTCCTCTCCAGAACACGGACTCACTCTGCAGTCAGTCGTCACCTTTGTCTTGAGCCACGCAGGGCCACCTGGCCACGTGCAGACCTCCAGCATGCCTAAGCCCATGACCCTCACTGCATTTGTTCTTCCACCCACTGGTCTCCATCGTGTCGTAAGTGTGACTCAGCTTTCCCTGCTCCTCTGCCAGCTCTTTCATTGCCCTTCCTCTGTGTCTGAGCCGTTCTCGGCCCTCTGTGCTGCTTGCCCTGCACGTCACTCACGTGTGCTCCTCGTGTCGTGTACCTGGCTCCTGCCCTTCCTCCAAGTGAGTGGCCATGCCTCATCTCCATCTGCCCCATGGCATGAGATCTGTGTGCAGAAGTTAAAACATGCTCTTCTTCTCAAACTGTTGGCTTTTGGCCCAAGTTGTTGCCCACCTTTTTTGTGTTGGTTTATTTTTCCAGATCAGGAGCTGCTCCTGCCCTTCCCCCCCGGGCCACCTTTTAGTGCCCAGGGCCTGTTGTTATATGCCAGGACCAGTTTTTACCTGCAGGTGTTGGACTGCAGCCCTGAGGATACTTGGTGGAGATGCTGCCCCTGCCCAGCAGAATGGTGTCTTATCCACATGCACATTCACCTCTGTTCCATGGGGGAAAAAAAAAATCCGATAACATTAGGATTTGTAAACATGTGCTTAAAATAAAAAAGTAATATCATCAGGCAGAGCTTCATGTGACCTGTTAGTACAGTAAATATTTCTTCTCAGGCTGTAGCAAAGCTCCAGAAAGTTGAATGAGTAGAAGGATTGGTCAGACTTGTGCTTCCCAAGGAATTGTGGAAGTTGGAGGATTAACTGTGCTCCCTCTTCTTGTCCCTAAGGTGATAGTCTGGGGAAACTATGGACGCATGGAGCGCAAGCACTTCATGGGAGTCGCCAGGGTTCTCCTGGAAGAACTGGATTTGTCATCTTTAGCAATCGGCTGGTACAAGCTCTTCCCAACTTCCTCGATGGTAGATCCCACCACAGGCCCGCTCCTGCGTCAGTCCTCACAGCTTTCCCTGGAGAGCACAGTGGGACCCTGCTGTGACAGGTCTTAGTGAGTAAGGAAGGGGGAACTGCTTTTGTTTTTTAAACATGCTGTCAAGGTTTTGTTTGCTGGAACTCTGACCTCAAGCGCAATGCATGTTCAATCAGTTCTTGTGGAGCTGGAAGAGGAGGATAACCCAGTGACCTTAGACAGAAGACGAGGGGGAGGGCACTGTGCCCTCTCCGTCCGAGGAGGAGGTGCCATGGGGCATGAGTCCTAGTTGTCAAATTAGACATACACCTCTTGTTTCACTTCTCTCGCTGTCATTCTTGGACCCTTGTTTCAGATCAATATTAACCCTGGAAAGTTGCAGCATTCGAAAGAATTTGGGGGGAGCAAGGAATTAATTTCTCTTAGCTGTGCGTGTTAGAAATTTCTAATATGGATTCTTTCACAAGAAAGTACCTGAAAAATTTAGAGGTCATCATCTGGCCTAAAAAGAGCAGGAACGGAAAGTTTAAGAGGAAGCATTAGGTCTTTTTATAATGTCTTTCTTTCTGAGAGGAAGAAGAAGAAAAAAACCTGCAACTCTTTCTTTAGAATCAGTTCCCTGTCACTGAGTCATGTTAGCTGTAACACTGTCGTTGCTGTGTTTTCAAACTGTGCCAAATTACCAGCAAGTGTCTTTACTGCATTACGTGTCTAACACTGCTGATGAAGCATACTTGGTGGGAGAGCAAGTAGCGCCTACTTAGAGCAGACAGTTTAAACAGAGTTCGAGTTTAGCAGGCTAATTAACAACAATTTTGCTCAGAAAAAACCCCAAAACACTAGAAGTGGGAGCTGAACATCACACTTGCAGCTTGAGGTGTTTTGTATTGTCAGATAAGACATTCTGCAATTTGCTGGCTCCCTTACTTGTTGCTGTGCATCCTTCAGTCATGATGTCTTCTATCTCCTGCTTTTTTCCTTCATCTCCTTGGTACTGATACATATCTGCTGGAGATGCTGCCCTTCCTTCCCAGACCTGAAACATGACTGCTTTATTCTGCCATGGGAGAGAAAGTGGGGGGTTCTGGGGGTGCAGAAGAAAGAAACCTCAGTTTGCCATCTGAGAAGAAGGTGCTGGAGAGCCCGTAACCTTCCCTGTGGAGAGAGGGGAGCTTTAGGCAGTCTTGGTACTACACAGGCATTGTCAAGTGTCCTGCAAGAGGAGATGTGTCCCCAAAGTACAGAGAGGTAGTGAGTGAGGCATGTGATGACACAGTGGTCGCAGCACGTGTGTTCTGCTCATTAAATGAGTAAAGCACATTTGCTGAGCTGTGGCAGCTGCTGCCAGCAGAGCCATGTGCTGGAGGAAGTGCTCTGGATCCTTCAGACAATTAAATTATCCAGAATCACAGAGAATCTCCAGAGATTTTCTGTTGATAGCTCTGTTTTGGCTAGGTTTTGTCTTAGTTCCTAAATGAGGATTTGATGACTGCTGTCCCAGAATAAACTTTTAGAGATGTTTTACTTTGTGGTTTAAAAGTGAAGGTCCCATGTCCCATGTAGGAAGGAACAGATTCTTGGCCTGTCATAGAGAAATACTGAGCATTTATTTCTGCATGTGGACCTCAGCTTTTTTAGAGTAAAAGCATGAGTGTTGAGTGGATGGTAAAAGCAGTTGCTTTTGGTCCTAGCTTGTCTATGGCATTTTAAATTATTTTGAGATAAATTACAGGATAGATGCAAAAATTATATAGGCCTTACAATAATCTGTAAAAAATTATATAATATAAAGGAGAGGGAAGGAGGACAAGGGACATAGAATGACTAATTTTTTGAGTCTTCAGTGGCAAAAGCCTCAACATTTCAGATAAATCTCTTCATTTCCTTGATCAAATATGTCTCTGGCCTCTCACTAATTATTTTTTCTAATGTAATAGGCAATTTCTATATATTAGCTGAAGAAAGTTTGTTGCATGCTGGTCAAACTATGTTGTGGCGCTCTCTCTTTTATTTTTATTTTTCAAAAAAAAGCACATTTACTGTAATTCAAGTCAGCATCTTTTCCTCTTGGTATGTAGTGAGTACTAGGCAATATTGTACAATATGTGTATGAACTAGAATAGATTAGGTAGATTTAGTGGTTTGTAGCACTGGATCTTTTAATAACTATGACTTTAAAAGGACTGTGGGGTGCTCCAGGTACATGCCAGGCCTGGCAACAGGGCTTCTGTCTTAAGTAATGCCGAAAGCTTTGTATTGGTACTTAGTTTGGACATTATCTACCAGTAAGAGCTAAGTTAATCCTGAGTTTCCTGTGCCCAGTAAGACAAATGCAGCGTTTTTTGCAGTTTTTAATGGTGAGTAGGAAACTATATATGCCAAAAATATTTCCCCAGAAAACTTTGTTTAAAGACTGTCTGTCGAAAAGCTCAGTTCCTGTGTGCCTGGCAGATGCAACTTGTCTCTGTTTCCTGCCCCTCTGAGAGCTCTGCAGGCTCAGTGATGATCAGTTCAGTTACCACAGGACTCCTTAACACCGAGGACTGTCTTCCGTCTGGTTTTAATCATGCTGAAGGGTCACTGTCAGGGTGAAATAAAGAAGTTATGGTTCTAGTTGTGTTATTTTTGTTAACATCTCCAGTTCTGTAGTTTGGAAGCAGTTTTGCAGTCTGCTCTGTCCGATTTTCTTCTGCATTTTTTGCGTGGTTGATCGTGGTCCAGTGCTTCTCGCTTTTTTTTACTGACTCCAAGTCCTGTTTCTCCCCAGTAAGTGAACACTGCCATCCCTGGCTGCCAAGCACAGCACAGTCACATGGACTGGCAAGTGCAGGTGACCTTCCTGCACAAAGCAGACTCACAGGAGCCCTTCTGCGAGTGCCCACGGGGCACAGAGTGAGGCTGGGGGAGTTGCATGGTACCCCACAGTTCAAATTCTTGCTTCACTCATAACGCATGATTCCTGCACTGGCCATGGTGTATTGCAGTCAGAAAAGAACTCTGCTAGTTGCCCATCCATTTAAGACTCCCAGTGTAGCATCCAAGACAAGTCTCAGGCTTGGAATAGCCTATTTTTATAAAGCCTAACCCACTTTTCCCCAAAGAATTTGGCTGGCCAGTTTCTGTCTAAGGTGATGTGATGTGAGAGTTGGGATTACCAGTGTGGTTGTGTATAAAGCAGCATTTTGCCACAGTGATGAGCAGCTGAAAACTGAACTTTTGTCCCCTTTGCAATTCCTGGCTGAGTCTTTTCCTGTGCCTGAGTCTTGCTGTAGGTTACAGTCAGGGAGGGAGAGAGCAAGAGCAGGAGACTTAAATAAAAGAAAAAAAAGGTGTCGTGGTATTTTTGGTTGGTGAATGATTATGAGGGATGAGACTGAGGAGAGATAAATACCTGCCTAACTCAGGATTGATTCTCCGTTCCTTGTGCATGAACTGCTACATTGTAAGGGTAATGGGAGCATTGCTGGCCAAAAAACCCATGGAGAGCCAATCCCTAAATGATACCTGAATTATGGAAAACAAAGAAATCTTGATGCTGAGAGCAGAATGATCTCTCCCCAGTGGGAATCCCCTCCACACAGGGAGAGCAGCCTCGCACGTGGCTTTGTCCTCTTTGTGCTCTAAGCAAAAAGCAGCCATGACCATGATCCTGGTTTGTTCAGGAAAAAAAAAATGTGATATTTTCCCAGTCTCCTGGTGTTTCTTTCCCTTTGCCCCAACACAGCTGGGATGGCCAAGGCCCTCACTCTGCAATTCAATCCATGGGTCCTCATCGTGCAGCTGGAGCCTCCCTTTGCACTGCAGGCACTGTGGGCAGGGTAAGGGCCAGCATTTCTTGGCCATGGATTGTTTCAAAGGACATTGCAGAATTATTTTCTTTGAGTGAAAATATGTATTTATTATTCCTAGCTACCGGATCCTTTATCATTGTACTGTTCTAAATTTGCAGGTCTTCTGGAGTATGAATATCACAAGTTCCTGTAAAGGAGCTGTTTTTAAGATGTTGAGGCAGTTAACAGAATCTCAACCTAAGCATGTTTAGTAATGTTTAGACAGCAAGACAACTTTTTTATGAAACTCATTTTAAGTTAGTTTATTACATGCTGTTGGTAATATTTTAAAACAGGAAAAATATTTTTCTTTAAAGACAAAATGATATGTATGTTTTTTAACAGGTAACATAATTTAGTGTTTTCAAAAATGTTTGATGTTCTTGGTATGAAGTTTACTCATTCTTTTGATTTCTATGTTCCTTGTTATATTTTATCAACTTTTTTCCAAAAGAAAAGAGGCATATGTAAATAAACACCAGAAAAGAGTCCTATAAGAAATTCTGTTCAAACTGGCCATAAAATTATTAGTAAATATTTGTTATTGTTCATTAACTCTCAGCTACTTTGTTGAAAGAATAGATGTTGTATTTTCAAGATGAGAACTACTTAGCTAGTTTTGTCATAATCCTGTACTCTGTATAAAAATCTTTTTATAAACAAAGTCTAATAGGCTACCAAGCAATAATATATTCCATTGGGTGTGCACAGATCGTGACTTGCAGGCCGTAGTACATATTGTTGATACAGTTTCTAATTGTCTTCAATCTGAACAACATCACTTTTGAAAAAGGTCCATATTGACTTTGATTGTAAAAAACAGAGACTGGGCTGTTGCCTTGTGAGATATATTCATTCTATAGACTTCTCTGTGAGTGTCTGTGCCCATCGACATGAGATCTCTCTTAGGTGAAGAAAGAAACAGCTGTAGGTGACTTCATACTACAGAGGTAAAAAATAGTTTCAGTATAAACTTCATGACTGTTTCAATCTCCTGTTTTTCTTAGGCTATCTAGTATTTGTAACTTGACGAGAATGGTTCCCACTGCCATTGTAGCCCTGATAAAGCAAAAAAGCCTTTGCACTCTGGGGCCACTGGAGTTCTGCCTGACAGCTGCCTATTTTCCTCGAGATACTGGGGCAGGCTAAAGGGAGGGTTTTTTTCAGAGCAGCAGATTGGGCTGCTATTCTTTAAAGGCTCTGTGGGTTATTTTGTCCATTTCATAGGTGGTATTTGTCCATTTTGTTACAAAATTCCACCCAAGGCAGAGAGGTTGCACCTTTGCAGGGGATCACAGGGGACCAAGGTGTAAAACAGGCACAGGCTGTTCTGTGCCTTGCTTCAGAAATTTGCTAGTGCTGGGCTCTCTGATTTTTCCAAAGTGGCAGGATCAGGATACTGGATTTTAAGTCAGCTCCATCATTGATGCAGTGATAGAATAAAAGAGCTTCAAAACAGCATCCCAGTCCATTGCCTGTGGATTCCTCCCAGCATTTACCACAGGACAAGTGTCCATGTTGTTCTCAAGATTGCCAGGCTGCTGGCTGTGCAGGCAGCAGGTCCCAGTGGTGCTGGGAGCCCCAAGGAATGCTGGAAGAATTCCTGGTTTTTTTGTGAAATGCTTTGAAAAGAGAGAGAGAGAGAGAGGTGTGAATGCCAAGTGCCATCAGTAGAGGAGTCCAGGGCCTATTGTGACCTGGAGGGAGCATCTAAAATGAAATTGCAGCTGCCAGATTTGAGCCAAGCATTTAGAAAAGAGTGTGATCAGTGAAAAGAGAATGATCAGTGAAAGGCTTTTTGTGTTTACCCCAGTGCACACCTGCCCAGGTGTGTGTCTGTGAACACAGTAATTCCACAGGGAGTTTGCAAGTGATTAGGTGTTCTCAGAAAGTGGCTTCAGCTCTCACTGCCAGACTCCTCTGCTCAGTGGCCACGTCCCAGGCACCAAGCAGCCTCACGTCCACCCCCAGCTGCTCACCCAGGACAGCAGCATCACACTCCAGCTCTTCCCACAGTATAGGCCCCCCCTGCCCTCGCTTCCCCCTGGTAGCTCCTTTGATCCTGGTGGAGGAGAGGAACTGGGAAGAGTTTCTTTGTAGCATTTGGTTCTTTGCGCTTCAGTGGCTGAAACAGAAGGACCTTGCACCAGCCCTTTCCAGAGCACCAGCAAACAGAGGTGGTGACCCAAGGACTTTCCCTTTGTGACTTTCCAGTAGCTAAAATGGCAGCCAAAGCAGTCCAGCTTGGCCAGGTCCATGGACAGCCTTGGCATTTACTCTGGGCACGTTAGGTGGGCTGAGCCCCCTGTGTAGGGGCAGGGAAGGGCTGTGTCTGGCAGAGAGGCCATGTGGGCACACAGCTGTGCCCAGGCAGCTCTGAGCTCCACTCACTGAGCCATGGTGGGAGCAGAACCAACCTAGAGAACGAATGAGGCACACCTTGCTGAAGCCATCCCACAAGCTTTGCACAAGCTGGTTTTTGTAGTTGCTTGGGCACCAAATGTTAGGATATCTGCCCGTGGGGGACTCCAGGTCCCACTAAATGTCAGCCTGGAGCTTCAAATGCTTCAGCAGTTTTTTCTTTGGGGCTGTTGTTTCTGACCCAGTGCTGCACACTGGTCCCTTCTTTGGTGATTCCATCTTCTTGACCTGGAGCTGGTTTTGGCTTTGGAGCCAGGGAAGGTGAGGTTTGGAGGATGAATCTTAAGGCATGTTCCCCTAGCCTCACCACACTGGAATTGTCTTCCTTTGGCTCCCTGCAAGCTGCTCCCTGCATGGTGGAAGGGCATCCTGGGGATGCAGTGCCTCCCCTGAGACCCCCTCACGCAGCACTGCCATGGCCTGCCACCCACCAGGGATGCCCGTGTCCTGCCAACGTTTTGTAGCAGTCCCATGTTCAAACTGCTTCCTTTCCCATCCTTGGAAGGAGCCAGGGGTCTTCTGCAGGGGCTGGGCAGCCCGGGCAGGCGGGATGTGCCATCACTGACAGCCAGGGGAAAACAGGGAGCTGCATCTGGACTGGGAGAAGGGGAGCTCCCAGCGAGCTTTCCACTGCCTTCCCTTTGCTTTCCCCAGCACCCTCTGCTCCCTCCATGGGTCCCCACTTCCCTCTGGACACGAGGCCTTATTCCAGCCCGCGGGGACTGAGGCTGCCCACGGCATCTCTTTGCACTGAGCATCCATCCCCCGCTGCCCGCCAGGAGCCCCGGGCGGTGCGGCAGAGCTGGCCTCTGCTCGGGGATGGGGCACCCCCAGCCCATCCCTGCCCCCACCTGCCACCGTGCTGGAACTCTGCCTTGTTCCCCACTGCCAGGGCCTGGCCACTGTAGGGAAATCTGCTTTCACAGGTTGAACCTTTTTACTTCATTAATTGGTCCACAAAACCCAGTAACTTTGCAGGCGCACTACAACACTCCTCTTGCTTTTCCCTAGGAGTGGGGGCAGCTGAGATCTGCTCTTTTTGGCCTCTGTAACTCTCCAAATCTTTCTGGAGGTTTTTAACATCATTTGGTGAGATGTAATCTCTGTGGAGCCAGAGGGAACACAGGCAATGGAGCTGGGCAGCCTGCTTGCCCAGGTGGCGAGTGGCTGGCGAGGTGCCTGGGCTGCCTTGGGTGGAAGGTGGGACACCAGCCACTCGTCTGTAGTCAGGAGAGGATTCTGCTATACTTTTTTCCTGTCTGTAGGTTTTATTCAGACAATATGTAATGAATAAGTGATTTACAATTCAGTGTTAAGCTAATGAAAACGTTGATAATGGTGATAATAAAACCTTTTTTTTTCCTACGGTGTGTTGGAGGTTTTCTATGGAGTGTCTCTGCCCTCTCTGTTGTCACCACCATTATCTTCAACCTAGGATTTCAGCTGGACCCTTCCTTCTCCTTGTGCCTGGAGGGAATGAGAACAGCTCAGCCTCATGTGTCCCAGTGCTCTTGTGGAAGGGCTGTCAATCCAGCTCCCTCAATCAGCCCCAGCTTCAAACCTGCATTTCCCTGAGCCACTTCTGGATGTAATTTGGCCATGGGCATCTCCAGGCACAGCTTAGCTCCCACTTGTGCTCTGCTCACCACCTCAGTCTAAAGCTCCTGGTGTTTTCTTTCCCAGACCCTTCATGGTCAGCCCTGGCCATTCAAGGGTGATTTTGAAACCCTGGAGGTGAAGACTCTACCGGCAGAAAAAAAAACATCCCTGGCCCAGGCTGTTGGGAACATCCAGTGTGGGTACAGGGGAGCCTGGGGACCCCCAGGGAAGGAGACCCTCAGATGTTACTGGGTGTGCAGCTGCTGCTTGGATGACCTGGAGCTGTGAGCTCTTGGGTGGGAAATGTGTGGGGGATCCTGCTGGACGGGTCTGTGGGAGGAGGTGGTGGTGCTGAGAATAGGCACCATTCTCTGGGGAGCTACTGCAAGTCCTTTTCCCGTGGGAATGAGGGATCACAAAGTCATAGTTCACTAAGAATTTCTTAAAAGGTGTTTGTCATGCCTCCAAATCTCTCTGCAGGTCATCAGGGTGAGACCAAGGGGCAGCTTCCCACCTGCCCCAGCTACAGCCCCCGGGGGAGCAGTGATGGAAGCGGGAGGAGGAGGGTTTCTCTAGAGTGCCCAGCATCTCCCGCCCTCAGACCACCACCAGTTTCCCAAGCAGGATGGGGCTCAGGCTGTCACTGAGCAGCCAAGCAGTGCTGCCTGGAAGCTCAGGCCACATGGAAGCAGCAGCTACAGGCAGCTGCTGTCACCTCACCACCAGCACTGCCCGCCAGGGTGTGGAGGTCACACCGCCAGCCCTGCTGCCTCTGCTGGGCTGTGCCAGGAGGAGGGTTTCTCTAGAGTGTCAGGGGACAGCCCAGCATCTCCCACCCTCAGACCACCACCAGTTTCCCAAGCAGGATGGGGCTCAGGCTGTCACTGAGCAGCCAAGCAGTGCTGCCTGGAAGCTCAGGCCACATGGAAGCAGCAGCTACAGGCAGCTGCTGTCACCTCACCACCAGCACTGCCCGCCAGGGTGTGGAGGTCACACCGCCAGCCCTGCTGCCTCTGCTGGGCTGTGCCTTTGCATGGCTGCATCCTGGGCTCTGGGACACAGCCACGGAGCCACTGAGCTTGGGCAGTGCCCTGCTGAATCCAGAAGAGAGTGCAGGGCTGGCTCAGCCTCTGGGTTCAGGTTTTCTCCTGCTTCCAGCTCCACCAGGGGTGGATCTCACCAGGGCAATACCATGCAGGTGACCTGAGCAGGAATCAAGGACCTGCTTCCCTCCACAACGATGGATGAAGGTGAGAGGTGCAGCTCCATCCTGGCCACTGGGAGGATGTCCAAGGCTCAACGTGGAAAGAGGGAGAGATTTCCATCTGCTCAGCTCTGATGGCAGAGGGCAGCACAAGAGCCAAACCTTGGGCTGAAATCCATGGGGAGGGTGGGGGTGATGGGACATGGCAACAAAAGGGCTGAGCTGGTGGGATCAGCGTGAAGTGACACGCTGAGGAGCTGAGAAGCCAATGAAAGCCTCATTTTTAAGCTTGTTTTCCACACTCACAGCTTGCTTTGTTCCCCCCTCCTCCCCCTTTCCCTGTAAACCAAGGCTCACCCAGCTGGTGCAGGTCTGGGCTCAGACTCTGCGTGATGCCAATGAGGCAGTTGCTGGACCTCCCAGCCCCTGGAATGTCACCCACCCCAAAGGGCCTGGGAGCACCCAGGTGAAGGTGTCACAAACCAGCCCCTGGTGGCAGCCCAGCAGCACCTGCATCCTCTGCCTCAGTGTCCACAGGGAGCCAGCCTGGGGCTTGGGGCTTGGACACATCCCTTTGCTCATCCTTGTAACAAATAATCAACCACCACCTGATGGATTCACCTTTTATTAAGCTGCCACCCGGAACAAAAGGAGGAGAGAGCAAAGCCTGCCCTGAGACCTTCACAATGCTGGCAACTCTGCATGCCTTCCCCAGCAGGAAAAGGGGCTATTTCTCCACAAAAACCCCCTCAGAGGGTATTTTAAATAGAACTGAGAGTTAAAATGTCCATTATTGGAGAAAAAAAAAATCAGTAGAGCTCCTGCCACTGTCAGAGCCCTGCTCTCATGCAGATGAGACAGGATGGACAAAGGCCATGCTGGGGTCACCAGCTGGAAAGAGCTGCCCAGGTGTGGCTGTGCAGGTACCACATCCCACACGGGGATGAACGTGGAGATGGGATCACCCCCACCTCAGATAATCCCAGCAGCAACAAGCACAAACCCATGGGCTCACAGGGACTGGGAGGAGGTGAGGAGCCAGCACAGCTGCTGGGCTGCCAGCTGGAGGAAAGGTGGGGAAGGAAGGGGTGATTTTAGCTAAGGGAAAAAAAAAAATCTGCTTAGGACCAAGCTGTTTGCAGGTGTCTGTAGTTCAGGAGGCTCTCCCTGGGGCTGCTCTTAGTACAGTCTGGGCTCAGCAGAGAGAAGAGCTGGAGCTGGGCTGGGCTGGAGGAGTTCAGCTTCCCCTGAGAATGGGGCACAGTGTCCCTCCAGCCATTTCAGCCAGGAGGATCTACCCATGGTGGGGAGGTAAAAGAGGCAAGATGTGCTGGTGGGCAAGTGGGGAGTGCATGGGCCTCCAGCTTCCAAAAGCACTGAGCAGCCACAAGCCTGAGCTCACACCCAGAGGGCTGCTCACAGGAGATAAAGTTCCTCCATGAAGCTGTCCCCATGTGCTGAGCTTCAGGACTGCAGCCCATTCCCTCCTGCCCACCTCTCCCTGCCCACCCACCAGCTGCAAACCTACTGTGTGGCACTGACTTACCTGCACCAGGTGCCAGGGGACCACTTGGTAGTCCCCAGCCTTGCAAGGCTTGCTCACACACTCAGCAAATTTTGCTTTTGACACTCAGCAAATGCAGCCCAGCCCATGGAGCAAGAGTCATGTGCTGGCAGCAGCCACAGCCAAGGCTCAGCAGGGTGGGAGGGCAGGAATGCAGCCTTTGGGGAGCAGGGAGATGGGAGAGCAAACCTGCAGCTCACTGGGCTTCACATCGGGGTGGGAGGGGGGCTCTTGCCAGTCCCAAATGTTTGAACCTACTTGGGAGGAAAAGGCAAAGAAAAACTAATGATGTCACTCGGTGCCTGCAAAAAAGGAATCATTATTTCCCAACAGGATTTAGAGGCTCCTGCTGGGGGCAGGGAGAGGAACAGAAGAAATGAGTAAGAAGAACCTGACATCTCTGTTCTTAATTTATCATCATAGTAAGACTCGAGCACCGAGTACGGCTCGGCACGCGCTCCTAGATGGATTTCCTCCGCAGCCGGGGGTGCTGCCGGCAGCGAGGGCTGTTGGAAGACAAAGTGCTCCCCGGGGAAGAGCCGGTCTGACCCCGCGTGCTCAGGGACACCTCGTCGATTTTGTAGGAAATGGAGTTGTAATACACGGGGTTGGTGTGGCAGCTCAGGGTCTCGGGGTGGGAGGGCGCCGGGCTGCCACACACCTGGGGTCTGTAGCACAGGCACGTGCAGAAGGACGGCACCTCGGCCGCCGAGACGGCCGACTGGCGCCGCTGCCTCTCCGCGTCCTCCTGGACCAGCGGGATCAGGTTCATCTGGCTCGTCCTGTCCTCCACAGGGAGAAAAATGGCATTGCTGCTGCGGCTGTCCTCTTTTGGCTTGAGGTGGATGTTGTTGCGGGCTCTCCTCAGCGAGGCTCGCTCTTCGGCGTCGCGCCGCTCGTCCTCCGAGTTCATGGTCAGGAACCGCAGCACCACCAGGTTGAGGAAGGCGCCGATGACGGTCAGGCCCACCAGGATGTACATGAAGCTGAAAGCCACGTATGGGGGCTTCTTCTGCAAAGCCTCGTTCTTCTGCAGAGCCACAAAGTCTCCGAAGCCAATAGTGGTCAAGGTTATGAAGCAGTAGTAATAGGCATGGAAGAAAGTCCAGCCCTCGAAATAAGAGAAGGCTGCGGCGCCGATGCACAGGGTGCCCATGCAGGACAGAAAGCCCACCAGGACCATGTTCTCCATGGAGACATGGGTTGTTCTCATGCCCAGACACTTCTTGATCTTCTTGAGCAGTAGCCTCACGACGGTGTTCATGCGCTCCCCCAGGCTCTGGAACATGACCAGCGTCAGGGGGATGCCCAGGATGGCATAGAACATGCAGAAGACTTTGCCAGCGTCTGTGCCAGGAGCAGCGTGCCCATAACCTGTGAAGGACAGAGGGAAGAGGAAAGGTAGTTTCAGGCCCTCATTGGGGTTTCCAGCAAGGCTGCCCTGTGACCAAGAGGAGCAGCAGAAAAATGGGGGGAAGAATGGAAAATGACTCAGTAACACATCTGTAGGCAATGCTAATGGGACCATGGAATGCCCATCCTTTGGGAGGATGGCACATTCATGTAGGCATTACCTCATTTGACCTCTAAAGAAAGAAGGTACCCTCCTGATAGCCCCCAAGTGTCACAGAGGCCATGAGAAGGCCTAGAGCTGGACTGGGGTCTGCAAGCCTCCTGCAGCTCATGAATAATTCAGAGGCCAGGATGCTGTGCCAGTGCCAGGTGTGCAGGGTAACCTGAACCCCACGGCAAGGGAGAGCAGAGGCTCTGCAAGATGCTGAGACCAACAGCGTCAGATCACCCTGTGGGGAGGAACACACCCATCCACAACTGCTCTTGCAGGGGCATTGCCACCACCCCTGTCACCTGCTCCTCCTTCCCCAGCTGTCCAGTATCATAACATGCACATTTCAGTCTCATCTCTATGAGCACTTGCTGTGTGGCCTGTTGGACAGGAGCCAGAGTGACCCTGCAGCCCTGTGCTATAGGGACACTCCCCACAGGAGCAGCTAAGTCTGGAAGGATGTCTGCAGACCCACTCCAGACTTACTCCAGTGTCACTAACACTCAGACCTAAAGCACCACCGGCCTGTTGGGGAGGAGGGGCTGTGCTGGTTTAGATGCAGAGTAGGGAGCATTTATGCCACCACAGCCCTGTCAGCCCTTTTCCTGGGGACAAGGAGCTCCAGGACAACAAGGCTCTCCTTGAAAGCCTTCTGAGACCTAATTCCTCCACCTTAGCCCAAGTTTCAGAGCTGTGACTCAAGGACACACACCATTACACTGTGAGGCACAGTGAGGTATTCACTGCAATCTTCTGGGCTCCAGCAATTCTGTGCCCACCTCAATTACAGCAGCTTAGCAGAAATTGGTGGCCCCTGACCTCAGAGGATGAGTAACGAAATCAGTGCAAGGGAGTCACGTGGCATCCAAAGGCATCCAAAGGCATCTGAGCCTTTCTTTTGAGTTGCTTCTACAAGAAAATACCAGGGCCTGAAACTTTCCTTCTGAAAGTGCCTGCAGAACAGTGCCAGCTCCTTCCTGTGCTGCTGCCAGGCCTTTCACAAACAGCTATTTGTACTTTCACTTTCTGCGTGATTTTGTGTGACTTTTGCATGGAGAACATGGGGGAAAACACCTTCTTGTTACCCCACAGTCTTGTTCGAAGTGGTGATTTGGCTTCACTTCAGTCCTTGCTGCCCGTGGATTTCCAAGATACCTGGGGAAGGTGCTGCACCCACTGATGGAAGGACCAGAGGAGGATAACCATGTTATCCTGGGCTCCTGAGCACGCCTCCTGCTCCAGGAAACTCCTGCATGGGACAGGGCTGAGGGCAGCATTGTCCTTCACCATGCTGTGCTCAGAACTGCCAGCAGGCAGCAAGGGACCAGCTTCTAATTGCTCTCTCTGTTCACAAATTCACACAACAAAAAATTATTAATTTAGTACCTGCATGCCACATTTCATGAAATAGAGAGCAGACAGGAGACTGCAGTGGCAAAACCTCCCAGTCAGATCCAAGCTTAATAACTGAGTGCAATCACCAGGTCCCAGGCTACGAGATAATACAATGACAGCAATGAGGATGTAAAGATAATGATCCACAAGAGCAGTAAGTGGAAAAACAATTGTTATACCCTGAGAGACTGTTGAAGGAGTGTTTGACTGATGGTTTTGAAATGACAAAGGGAATTAGAAAGAGTAAACACAGCTACAATAACATTAAAACTGAGATTTGGAGCACAGCCCAATATAAAGAGATCTAACATGTCAGTGTTTGAGAAATACGGCACCTGGGGTGAAATTATTTATCACACAGGGTGTGTGATAAGCACAGCCATTGTTTGTCACAGCCAACAGGAAAATAATGTAAATGAAGCTATAACCTGTCAGGTGATGATGGGGATTTTTGCTGAAGCTGTTCATCTTTCCCTCCTGCTGGGGTCTGACCCGAACCATGCCCTGAGCCCACTGTGGTTTGCTGACCATGTGTGTTCCCAGCACAAACCTCACACTGCATCCCATGGGAGCACATGGAGAGCCCAGGCAAGGCCTGCAAGATACCTGTCCCTCTTCCACCTCTTGTCTTCTGGTAACACAGTGCAGCTGATCCCACCGACCTTGTCCTGAGGGATGATGCTACCTGAGGTATTTCCACCATCCCAAGCCCTTTGGGAAGGCTGAAGTCCTGTCCTGAAGAACAGGAGGAGGCTGCTGGCTGTGCAGGATTCAGCCTCAGGATTCCTGCCTCCAAAACACTTCTGCTGCCCGAAATTCCAGCACACGCAGTGGCACAAGCACAGGATCCCTGTCTACCCCCACAGGATGCCAAGGGTGCATGAATTAATCTAAGTGGATTCATTAAACAATGCTCAACTCCTATGTGGCTAATCTTACCTAAATTAAGGCAACCCTCATTCAATTAGTTTCATTCTCTTGCAAAATTGAAGCGGACAAACCACGGCACTGGGCTCTGCTATGGGTAAGTGAGTCTACAGGGGAGTTTAGTGTGATTCAATCACTCCCTTCCAAGCTGACACCCATGTCTCTGCAGGTTTCTGTGCAGGCAGGCAGCGGGCAGTGGCTTGTGGCTCTCTTGGCTCCATGAAGCAGATCTCACACAGCCAAACACCCAGAGTTTTGAGCTAGCAAAGAAGCCAACAATTCTTGCCCAGCTGTTCACCCAGCTCACTGGCTAGAGCTGGCACAGGGGACAGACACGGGCCCTACCTCTGCCCTCCCACACCGCTGCCAACTTTGGCAGCCGCCTGCTCCAAAGGTTCCCGCAGGAGCTCCGCAAGCTGCTGCCTCCCTGGGACAATGTCGTGTCTTGCGGTCCCAGCCACAGCAGCACCCCCAGCACAGGGTGGCCCCAGCCTGCCCGTGGGTCACCTCGCCCACCCCTAGGCACTGGGGTCCCAAAGGGTCAGCTCCTGGGTGGCCTGAAGAGATGTCCCAGCCTTGCAAGGGTGACACCTGCCTCTGCCCTGCGGGCACCCCCCAGACTGCCCTGGGGCTCCCGGGGGTACTGGAGGTGTGGGGCTGGAGAAGTACGGGGCGCAGGGACATGGAGGGGCATGGGATGCAGGGGCGTGGGGATGGAGGGACATGTGCGGCAGCCATGGAGGGGCACGGGGTGCAGGGAGGTTGGATGGAGAGACACGGGGTGCAGAGGTTCAGGGATGGAGGGATGCCGGGCGCGCCGGTCGGGCTGCCCGCACTCACCGATGGTGGTGATGACCGTGATGGCGAAGTAGAAGGAGCCGGCGAACTTCCACTGGCGACCGGCGCGGTGCGGCTCGGCCTGCAGCACCAGGCGCTCCAGCTCCCGGTAATCGTCGGCGGAGAAGCGGTACTTCCTCCGCAGCTCCCCGCGCTTCTGCTCCAGCAGCCGCTTGCGGCCGCTCTCCGCCTCCGACTCCAGCGCATCGAAGACCGCGGCGCCCACCAGCAGGTAGGAGAAGATGCAGAGGATGAGCGCGGCCGTGCGCAGGTTCTGCCGCTTCATGGCGAGGGGCGGCCGCCGCGCTCAGCCCGGGCTCCGCATGGCCCTGCCGCCGCCGCCCCCCCACCGCGCTCAGCGCACCGAGCCTGGGCCCCGCGCAGCGCTTGCTGCTTGCCCTGGGCACGGATTCCTGCTGCCCCGGGCACCGGCTCCTGCCTGCCCCCGGCACTAGTTCTTGCTGGCTCCAGGCAACGGCTGCTGCCTGCCCCGGGCACGGGTTCCTGCTGTCCCTGGCACCGGCTCCTGCTGCCCCGGGCAGCGGCTGCTGCGGGCTCCAGCTCGCACGCACACCTAGGCTGGCTGCGGTGTGCCCCGAGCCCTCCCAGCCTGGCAGCCCCGGGCAGCGCCCGGCTCCAGGTGAGCCCTAGCGAGGCCGCGGTTCGTTCTCGTGCCAGTGACAGCAGTAACATCCCCACTCCCCGAAGCTGCCCCTGGATGCTCCCAGGCTGGAGGAGTTTCTTGTGCCTACACCCTCTTTGCCTGCCCTCCCGAAAGCAAGGGTTTTTGGGGCTGGGGGGCTGTCCCGAAGCACCCTGTAGAATCATCTCTGTGGTGTCATCCCTGTGGTATCACCCCTGTGCTACCAGCCCTGCACGGGCAGCTCTGGCTCCTGCTGCTCTGCCCAGCTCTGGGCCACTTCACACCCATGGCACTGAGGAACACTGAGGTGTAATCTCTGTAATCCATTTGTGTTACCTGTGTAATCTGTCTGTGTTATCTATCTGTGTTAACTGTGTTATCTGTGTTGTATATGTTATCTACCTGTGTCATCTATGTTCCCAGTGTTATCTGTCTGTGTTATCTACCTTTGCTATCTATCTGTGTTACCTGTGTTATCTGTCTGTGTTATCTGTGTTGTCTGTATTATCTATCTGTGTTATCTGTGTTGTCTGTGTTATCTGTCTGCTTTATCTGTGTCATCCTTTTCTCAGCTGGTTACCAGAGCAGAGTCTGGCCTGTTGTGTCCAGTGCTGTTTTAAGAGAGCAGAAAGGAAGAAAAACAGATTCAGTGTTTCTGCCGCTTTCTTTGGCACACTGGTGAGAGGCTGCAGGCACAGGGGATGTGGGGCCTGTCCACCCTGTGCTGGAGTGGGGGCAGTGAGCTCAGCCTCTCTGCACTGATGTGCTGTGGACAGCCCAGGTCAGCCCCAAGGAGCAGGGAAATTAGCTGTGCTAGGAGGCAGAGCCCACAAACTGAAGACCCTGTTTCTCATTCCTGGTTACCATAGCTTTTATGTAACTCCTATACTTCACTTTTAAAAATAGAAAGATACTTTTGAGTTGTGTGTTGCAGGCGATAGTATCTCTTTCATGAAAATAAACTCTTCTTCTTTTGGCTGGGAATAAAACACACAAGTGAAAAAACAAGGCTTACATCCCTCTTCATCCATCTTGCTTCTCTCCCTGGAGAGGAGATGCTTTGGGATTTAGTTGCACCAATGAAGCTTTGAACTGGACATAAGAAAAACTTTTTAACCATGAAGACAGTGAAACACTGGAACAGACTGCTGGGGGAGATTGTGGCACCCTGTCACTTGAGGAGTTTAAAAATAAGATAAGCAGATGTCTGGGTGTCTGCTGAAACTGTTCTGGGTGCAGTGGGTGCTCTCCTGAAGGAGGGGGTGACTCAGTGCTCTCCTAGAGCCCTTTCCATCCCTGTCCTCAGCATTCCCATGGCCAGCACAAGGGACACAGTGGCCTTTCCTACTGTAATTGTGAACTCTTTTTCACCCTGGCCACTTGCCACTTCCCTCCTCCTTGCTGAGCCTCCGTGCCAGCACCATTAGTGAAAGTTGTTATTGGAGAAAAAATAGACTCCAGCATCCATCAGGATCAGCACAAGCTGTCAGCGTGCTGCTCGACCTCGCAGGGCTTGCAGCCTCCTAAATCATGAGGCAGAGCCTCTGCTGGAGGAATGTGTCTGTTTTGTGTTCTCCGTGGTGTGTCTGCAGCCCTGCTAACAGGGCCTGGGATGCTGTCAAACCTCCAGCCCCAGACATGTGTGGGGGCCTCCTGCTCATGAAGATGTGCTTCACCTGGTGCTGGTAATCTTTTCCACTGGTCAGCAATGACTTCCCACCTTGGAGCCAGAGCCAGAGCTACTAACTGAGCTTCTGTTGCTTCCATCACAGAGGAAGGAGATCTTATGATGATTGCATCTCTGGATGCCTGTCACACATCTTTTAGGAGTGATTCTGGGGCCTGCAGTGTCAAATTCTGGGGTCCCTGGGTGATATTTGGACAAAATTTGGATTTTAAGCTGATGCTGTAGCCTGTTATTGAAAGGCAGCTGCTCTGTGAAGATGTTGGGCCAACATGCCATTGTAGGTTGCAGCATGGAAACCCCTGGGAGAGGCTCTCCACTGGGTGGGTGACAACAGGCACAAGGTGCTTGCCCAGTTTCTTTAGGAGCAGCATCAATCTCAGCTGATCACCAACTAAATCCTGCAGTTTGTTTCCAAACCTGTCTTTGTGATGAGAGCCAGCAGTGCTCAGGCAGAGATGGTACAGAATGGGTTTCCCAAGGTGCTGCTTACACAGGGAGGGGTCTGTGGTGGCATTTCCCCCTCTGTGGGGCTGGGGACACTGGGGACAGGAGGAGCACCTCTGCTGCTCTCAGTGCTCCCTACTGCTAGTCCTGTCCTCTTTGTGGCTGGTGGTGGGCTGACCTTGGCTAGCTTCAAGGTCTTCTCCTGGCCCCAGAAGAAATCTTTACCTTGCATTGTCTTGGGACATGGGTCTTCCCTCAGCATGGCCTTTCCCTGCTGCCCTGGGAGTCATAGAGATTGGGGTGTCACTTATTTCTCCTTTTGGGGCTTGCTTTGACCTCTTGCAGGTCAGAGGCCCCTGTAGAATAAATGCTGCTCAGCAGGAGAAGGTAGCAGGATCCATCTCCTAACGAGAACCCCCCAGTAATAAGCCAGGATTGTGTTTGGAGTGGGACTGGAGGCTTCAAAATTCAGGCTGGATTCAGCCTGCTCTGCTGCTCACTGCTCACACACTGCTTTCTCCTGCCTGCAGCGATCACAGGGGTGGGTGACACCAAACTGTGTCAGATGGCTGTTGTGGAGGGCCATCCTGTCCTGTTCTCCTGAGACTCAGGAAAGTTTCACACTTTCCTGCTGGGAGGCCATAGGTTCAGCCTTTGTGTTTTCCTGGACTTCACTCTGCTTGAGGAAGGTCAAGCTGGAGCCGTGGGTTCAGGGCAGGCAAGATAATGTACTTTATCATTGATTTTCAGTGAGAATTGCATTATGAGATTAAATGTCTCATTTTTATTGCATGGGGAGGCAAAGAAAAAGCAGGAGCTCTGAAAATAAAGCCTAAGTCCAAGTGCTGTGTTTGTGCAGGGAGGTGCTTGACTGGGAGTGAATGTGCCTTTTTCCAGTCCTTTGGAGGTGAGCTTTGAGAAGCTGCTTCCTCTGAGGCTGGTAAACAAAGTCAAACCTCATCTGTGTTTAAACCAGTGCCTAATTAATGTGTCTAATTGGCCCACATCTACTAATTCCACGCTGGCAGGGAGTTTATTAAAAAGCTTTTCTAGTTCTAATGGATTGAAATAAACAAAGCTGCTTAGCAGTTTCAGATGAAAAGCACTAAACAGGGACCAGTTATGTGGGTCTGTTTGAGTCAATCCCAAATCCCCCCAGGTGTCAGCCCCTTCCCTGGCTTCAGCTGCAAGGTGCTCCAGCTCTCTGAGGGCTTGGGGAGCATCCTGATGTACTCTGCTTCTTTTGGTTATTTTTAAACACCAAATTGATGGTTTTGTTTGCTTTAGTGAAAGCATCAGCTATTCTAGCTTTAATGCCATTAATACTTAGATTATAGATAGCCTGGCAAAGCCACAGGATATTTCTAAAGCAAAGGATTAGTTAATTTCCAAAAAGTGTTAGATATCAGGGTATGAATAACAACCAGCTGCAGCTGCCCAGATGATGTCCTTAAGCCACAGAAGGACTGGCAGCACTGTGAGCTGGGCACAGGGAGAGATCCTTCCTCTCTGCATGCAGGGCCATGGCAATGCCTTCCTCTGCACACACAGCATCCCTGACTGGATCCAGGCTGGATGTAGTGTTTGCTTCCGTCCCATGACTCCACAAATCATCCTGTAAAACATCCTCCTGCATGCTGGAGCTGCCTCGGAGCTGCCCTTTGGCCATGCTCAGTTACTGCAGGCTCAGGAACCTCATGGCTTTCCCTGGGCTCTGAGAATTCCTGCTGCCTCCTTCCTGGGCTCTTTGTAGCTTGGATGGCTGCAGGCACTTTGCTCTGCATTGTGATGTGGAAGCTCAGCAAGGGAACTAATGAAGCATTGGGAATAAACTGGCTGTAAATGCAGATTGCCTCCACGTGGTCTCCCATGGATGTGATTCCAGGTTTCCAAGCTCAGAGCAGCTGGACACAGTTCCACCTGTGACTGTCTTCAACCACCTTACCCAGTTCCAGCCATGCTAAAGCTCATCATGCCACCTCCTAATAGCCCAGAACTCATTGGGAAGCCTTTCCCAACTACCCTTCCTACCCAAAAAGGGTTTTTTGAGGGGACACACGGCCCCATCCTCCCACCCCGCTCCCCCAGCAGCCTGATCTGCCAGTGGCTGTACACAAAGCAGACCTGGGCTGGAAATGCTGACAGTACTCTTGAGAGTTTATGGTCACAAACTCTATTTTCAGCCTAATAAGTTTTTTATATGCTTGGAAAGCTGTCAGTTGAACATCAGCCAGGCACAAAGTACCTGCCATAAAGCGTCTGGACCACAACCAAATGGGAAAGGTGCTGCTCTGCTTTAGCAAGTTCTTCATCTTGGATGCTTTAGTTGGTTCATTTATTTTGTTTGAGGATCTTGGCTTTAATTATAAAATAATAAGATAATCATAATGCCTCTACTTAAAAATCTGTGCAAATATTTGCTGAGAGCCTGTTAAATCAAAGCTCTCTGGATAGGGTTTTGGGGCTGGGAGGCTCTGTGGTGCTGCTGCTGGTGCCAGAGTGGACTGGCCAG